AGGGCCAATATACATGTGAAACAGATCAAGCATAGACATAGAACAACAAAAATATATGTTACAAGACTTGACTGGATGGAATATATTTCACACATGGATAAAGAAAATCATTGAGTTAGAGAGATGGAAAGTGTCTCAAGTCTTTCCCTCTTCTAAGTGCGGAACATGGCTTCTTGCTGGACAGTTTACCAGATATTAAATTGATAGTGCACTTGATTCTGAACAAAAGAATCAAGTTTATCTAATCATCTCTTCATTTATCTGTGTTTTTATTGAAATGCAGATTCCAAACACTGCCAAAGTTACTGTACCTTATCTTGAGTTCCTGACAAAGTTCACTAGGATTGCCAGAAGTGCCAGCATGCAAAGAAGGTAAGCTTCCTATTCCAAAATAGTTGTTGTCAAACTGTGGTTGCAGATCATTTGCTGGTGGCCTGTAGAGAGTGGCCTGGTCACACAGTTCTAGCTCTTCTGGTTATTCCCAGCTGCTAAATGGTACTACAAAGAGCCACAGACACATTGCATACTTTTCTAACATTGCTGTTCCATACAAGTGATTGGTGTTGTTGTCATGGGGACATTATAGAATTGTTAGAGGGAGAGCATGCGTGATTGATCACAGCTTCAAGCCTAATCAGAATATTCCGTGGACTGACAAATGATATAACTGGATAAAGAAGAGATTAGAAACAAGCTGAGTATAACATTTTATGGGGATAAACAAAACATCATTAAGCTTACCATGGCCCAAGAGAAAAAAGCCCAAAAGTAACTATTACCCAAGATGGAAGACACACAAATGTTCTGGTAGAATTAAGATATTATGGTAACAGTAGGGGCCAACCTCTTTGGCATATGTGCCACAAATTAGCCCTGCACTTTACCCTGGTACCACTCTGATCCCTTTCCCCTGCCTGATTTGCTGCTCTGCTTTTTTACTCCCTGCCCTTTGCTCTCTGATTAGCTGCTGTGCTTTCTGCTTCCTGCCCTATCTGCTACTATGCTGCCTCTCCCCTTCCTGATCACCCATATGCCACATACAGAAGCTGTCAATGCTGTAGGTTGGCCAACCCTGTACCATGGGATCCTTGAATGAATTTAGACTGTCACCTATTTTGTAATGTCACTTTATTGACTCCCCCCTGTTTTCAACAGTAACATTGAGGACACACTAGTTTTGTGTGGAACATAAGCAGCTTTGGGATTAAAAGGATTGGCTTCCCTTTGAATATGGACTATTTTGAGAGTGAGAGATTCTAAATATATTATGTAAGGAACATGCACACTTTTCCTCCCAAAGCCCAGTATAATTTTAGCTTTGTTATCTTCTTCCCTCCCTTGACGAAATAAAAAGAAAGGCTCTCTGCAAAAGGACTCTCAGAGACATTTCCTTTCCTAGTGTCTCCCTCCTTTAGGCTTTACCTCAGAAACAGATAACATAGGTCCCAATAAACAGCCACCGCAGAAACAAGTCTACAAATTCCGGTAGCAGCTGAAAAGTATGTCTGTGTAATAAAGGTGCTTGCTGAAGGCTGTATGAAGATTAGACCAAGTGTTTTTTCTGTATTTGTTTAAATATTAAGCTATATGTTGTTGCTAAAAGCCTAATTAAAGTTTAAGATGTAGTGAGGCCTTGTATAAAGTAAGGCCTAGTAAATTTAGCAAAGCCTTGAAATAGTAAGGCCCTGTGGCATAGTTAAAATTACCTTATCAAAAGAATGCAAGGCTTGTACTGCTATTGGTCAGTCTAAGGACAGCTGAAGCAAAAGGAATCTGAGTGGTCATATATTATCAGTGTCCTTCAAAAGCTATAAATTAGCTGAAATATTTAGAAACCATTCAGAAGGAAGATGCTGCTCTGTGAAAAGGATTAGTTAGCTGTTGCCTGGAACGGTGGGCCCGTGGACCTCAAGGAGCCCAAGAACTGCATTCCAGGGTCCTTCCCAGTACCCCTCAGACACTGTTGCTTGGGGACACCTGACTTCTCTGAACTTTGTGGAAAGAGAAACTTGCTCTGTATCAGGCATCATAGGGACTGCCGATAAGTTGCCAACGTGAATTGCTTTTGTTTGTCATTGTTTGTCCCGTTATGACATGTAGTTGTGTTTTTGTTAAGTCAATAAATCTTTCTTACCTTTCTACCCCTGACCACACTCTCAATCTAAACCTTCCACAGGCGGCTGGGACAATTCTAATCCTGATCTTTTCTACTATCAAGGATAAAGTTAAACAATCTCTCAGACAAGGGAAAATGGAAGAATGGGATTAGGGCACTGAAAGGAGGCAGACAGAAGTTGGCAGAACAAAGAAAGAGAGGAGAAAGTAACATGAGTAGACTTAAATCTCTGTCTTCCAGAGAAACAAGGGAGCTTTAAAAATCCTAATTAATTAGAGAAAACTAATTAAGTAGAGAATGAAGGATCATGCTCAAAAGAAAAGGTTAATCTTTTTTATTACATGGAAAAGATAATGAAAAAGTTAAAGCTTATACACGTGGGGCCTAAATTTCCTCTCTTTCTCACTAGTAATATGAATGGAATTATTCCTTATTGACACGGATGAAAGTGAACAAAGAATCAGGAGCAAGATGAGAGAAACCTGTCACCTTTTGCTAGCCAGTGACTCATGGAACCGTATTCAGACCATGTACAGTATGAGGCAAAGAAAAATAGATGAATTGTTAAAGCTTCTGTTATGCAAGAGATTATCACTGGAGGGCAGTGCAGATGCTGTTTTCCAGTAGAAGTTTTGTACAGAGGGAGCCTGAGGCCAGTTTCTGTTCTGACTAAACCCCAGATATTCTCAGTATAAAGTCACTTGGTTGTTACTTAGGCAGAATTTGGTTCTTAGAACTGCATCCTTTAAGGTTTAAATAATGTTACCCTCTTGCATATGTGTTTGCAGGATCAGGGAACCAGCAAGTTCAGGGAAACAGATAGTAAAATAGATAGTAAACAGATAGTAAAATAGATCCTGTGACTGGAAGTTGGAATCTATGGGTCCCAGTAACAAAAGTACAAGCTCTTAACTCTGCAAACAATTTGTTCTCTTGTTTTCCTCTAAATAAATGAGATGGGGGAGTAAAATATAAAGTAAGGCGACTGCTTTTGTAAAAGGCATAATAAGTTAAAAGATTGCTGGCAACAGATAAAGGACCAGGTCCTCATTAATGGCTGAGGAGCAATCTTTAAAACAGTACAGGGATAGACAAAGGTGTCTTTTATGTTCCCATGATTCCAGGGAGACTCCTATATGCTATTCTGCTCCTATAGTTCAGTAAAACACTAGTATCAGCTGCCAAAGGACCCAGTGGGAGCTCAGAGCACAGGTGAACAATATAAACATCCTTCAGCCACATCTTTCCGCTGGCAGCCATGTGTCAGAGGTGCTGCAGCACCTGCACTCTGCGTCCTCATACTTGGGGAGATCAGCTGGGATGATTCACTGGGCTTAGTGTAGCTTTATGCTACAGTAGCAGTGCAAAGCTGGCAGAGCACAGTGTCCAGTAGTACCACTTGGAGGCCCAGTCCTGCATGTAATATCAGTATTTGGACCGTCATTGACCTATAGCAATACCACAATGGATTTTTTTTGTGACTAATCCTTTTGCCAATGTTGCTTGTGTCTAGGTGGAATAGCAGCCAAGGTTGCCAAGTGATGACATTAACTCAGCTGGAGTCCCTTCTAAAGGAAGAGGTACTGTAGGGATGGATAGTAACTGAACATAAATACTTAAGTGGTAATTCACTTGATATTTTTTAGTATTGCATAAAGGGTATAGACATATACAAGTACTTTCAGTGTGCACTGATATCAGATCAATGTCATGGTTAAAAGGATGTTCCTATACTAATCTATTGTGAAAATCTGATTGAATTGGTATTTTTTCCTTTTATACGGTATATTCCAGCACTGAGCACTCTCTCTAATTCCCATTAGTCACTCTCTTTTTAATGTCAGAAACCAAAGCATTATTCTGCCTACAGTCCTCTTGTAGCAACTCTCTGGCAGTACATAGTCTCATTGTGATTTTATTTCTTAGTTACTAGAGGTTGTCCGCTTGAATAACAGCATCTGCTTAATTTAATGGGACTGATTCTTTACTGAAACACATTTTTTGTAATCACTGGGCAAAGCTGGTGTAAAGTATAGAAATAATATTTGAGGCCCTTTGTTCTCACTTTGCATAGATGTAAACTGTGACAAAAGACGCCATGCCATGGAGAATCAGGCCCAAGATTACTGGCCCTGTATTGAGCCCTGATACCTTTATTTTTTTAACATATTAGGGACTGGATGGAATAGTTATGTTTATTTCCCAGACTGAGTACATGAAAAGCCTTCCATTAGCACTGGGTTCTTTTGTTATGTTGGGACATCACTTAAGCTAGCCAATCAGACATCTCAAACTATTCCTAATGACAAAAATATTTGTCATGACATAGCGCTCATAACAAAAGTTGCACCAGAAAAGAGTAGGGGTTGATAATATTATTGGTGGCACGCTGGAATGACCCAGCGTGGGTTGAAAGTGGGTTGGTGCTAGGACCCAGTCACCACCCATTATTTCTTTTTGCTGCCCAGCCAAGGCCCAGCATGGGCAAGCCCTCCTCCCCCCCCACCTTCTCCCCACCCTCCCACCACCCAGTTGCAGTTTGGTGGAATAATTCCTCTCCGGCAAATACAGCTTAAGTCTCTACTCCACAGGCTGGATACAAGGATTCTGCATGCTGAATGTGGCCTGTGGACTGTAGGTTGCTCACTCCTGCTCTAAAGCATCACATGACATATCTACTCCCCATGAAGTATAGGCAAACCTTAACCTCATAACAATTCTGAAGCAAATCACCAAAAGCATCTGGGAATGTCTCCTTGCTAAAAAGGTGGCTTATACCCAATGGAAAGAAGGGGTCATCACCAAGGAGGGCTATTCTGCAGTTGCTCAGGGATGTAGGGGGGTAGTTAGGAAGGCCAAGGCAGAGATGGAACTGGGACTAGCTTCCCAGATTAAGGACAATAAGAAGTCTTTTTTTAAATACATAGGGGGTAAAAAGAAGGTCCCAGGTAATGTGGGGCCCTTGCAGGA